GCAAAAATAATCGGTGACTAGTCGACTATCAAAATAATCGTTTGTGGCAGCCCTACTGCTCAGTGACAAAATTGTCTCATGACCCTGTGAAATGAGACCCAGGTAGTGGTTACCAGAAGAGGGTGATATATTGTCTGAAGTAGTCAGAACAAGAAAATGCTATTAACCCAGGGAAAGCTACGCCAAGTCTGTATAGTTTACCAAAGATACATAAACAGGGTGTACCTTTAAGACCAATTGTCTGTATGATCAATTCAATCACCTATAACATCTCAAAGTTTCTGGCTTTGATCCTCAATCCATTGGTAGGTAGCTATAAACACCACATCAAGAACCCCCTGATTTTGTTGAGAAGGTAAGAGATGTTATTATGGAGGATGTTATATCTCTCTTCACTTGTGTTCCAGTCACTGAAGCAGTGGTGGTAATTCGTAAGAGATTACAAGATAACTCTAATCTCAGCAACAGGACCACTCTCAGCATTGACCAAGTGTGTTTGCTTTTGGAACTGTGTCTTCATTCTACATATTTCACATACAATGGTCAGTAATACAGGCCGATGGGTCTGCCATGGGTTCCCCAGTTTCACCCGTTGTGGCCAATGTGTACATGCAAGAAGTGGAAAAGAGGACTCTGTTATCCTATCCTGGAACACCACCAAGTCAGTGGTTCAGGAATGTCGATGGCACCTGGGTGAAAATCAAATGTCAGGACGTAACACAACTCACTGATCACATTAACACAAGACTGTGAGATTTCCATGAGTAATTGGGGACATTTAAAAGTTGTAAAATGTGTACTGTAAACCAGCGCATACACATCAGTATTCAAGGTTTGACTCTTGTTGCGGTTATCCCAGCTGGACATTTGTCAAAGCTGGGAAGGCACCTAAAGAAAGCTCCAGGTGACCATTGATCAATGACAATTGACCATTGATCAGTTGTCATTGATCAATGGTATTTGGTCAGTGGTTGTTGATCAATGGTCTTAATAATTTGCATATTAATGGTTATGAAACTGACCTCACAACCCATTGTTTGCCAGTGGTGCCTTTTTCCGTTATTGTGCAAATATACTGTTTATAAGTTGGGGAAACCTGCAGTCAGCTGAGACTGAAGAAGTCACTTGATTGACAAAATGTTTCTCCCACTGAAAACACTACGTCCACATGAACAGAATCAACTTTTGGGGATTACAGGGGTTGTGTCCTGCCTTTTGGCTTGTGACTGCTGAACAAGACCCCAGTTTCTAAACAACCCTAATTGAATTAACAAGATGGATGGATGGATTAATGGAAGAGCAGATAGATACAATAGAATGATTTTTCTGGGATTCTATACGACCAAGCATTTTTGCAACCAGAGGGGCCGCCCCTTGCTGACCATTTAAGAATATAACTAAAGAGTGGCTGTATCCACCCTGCATATAGAGTTTATGCCCCATCATCAAAAGGCCAATTTTCCAATTTTTCTCTATCTCAATGAATAGGTTGCCAGTCTATGGCTGAGTAAACACAGAGAGATAAACTAAAATATATGCACACATAGGACCAATTTTAAATCACCAGTTAATATAACAGAGACCTTTAAACTCTACACAGAAGGGCCCCAGTCATCCAGCAAATTCAAATCCAGGACCTTAATGCTGCGAGGAGGTAGTACTAACTACTGCAATGCCATAAAGCTGTAAACAACAACAACAACGAAATAACACTGTGACTTCCCAAACTGCATTGTCATTGAGCATGCCCATAACTAAAAATACCCAGGATAATTTAGACAGTTAGGTTTAAATGCTCCAAATTATTTGTAATTTTCTTCCTTATTATAGTGATGGCCAATTAAGATGTCATGTGTGTAGCCCTTCATCAGCATGCTGAAATATTTTAATTGATCAAATGATTTATTCTTATCTTGTAAGAATTGCATATTTGCTAACTCAGATATATGCATGTTCTGTATTATCTGCCCAGATATACCACTTTGGCTATAGCACATGCTAATTCAATGCAGGTTCCTCCTGATGTTGCTCACATGTGTAAAATAATATAAAAAGCAATAAAACAACAGGATTCATGAGTGACTGAGCCAAACAAGACCTCACACAATGGAAGTTGCCACTTTATCTGTTCCATTTATCCCTTTTAGGGAATAAATCTGGCTCTAATGCATGTTATCGGTACAAGAGGGACACACTGCAGTTCTTTGACCTTAAGCCTTTTAGAACATGTTCATTCATCACAATACTAGCCACTGCAAGCTTGACTGGTCAAGTCCAGTAGATGGTGACAAAAAATAAGAGAGTAAAAGCCAGTTGTACTAAAATTGATGTTGCTCATGGATAAGTCTGACACACAGAGCAGCTGTAACTAACAGTAATTGTCTAGAGAAATGTGCTGGATAAAATCCAGAAGATTGATAAATCTATGACGGACGATGAAAAACAAATATGCGAGTCTCATGAAGTACCTCTTTTTTTAATACAGATGAAAACGTGGTGTGGCACTCATCGCTTATGTCTGGACAACATACAACATACGCTAAAACAGAATTGAACGTCATATATTATATACACAATGAACCAATCTGGTTTCCCCCTGAAGTCATCTGTGAAATCTTTTTGATCCAGGTCTGTGCTGAACAGAGAACAAAGAAAAGCATGGCAAGGAAAATACAACCTCATCTAATCCACCTCCTCCAGCACCACAGATCTCTCATAGAGCCAGAAATTAAACAAGACACAGAGCCTGTTACAGTCTAACCTTGAAAGTAAACAGATCACATGGTCTGGCCTCACACCAGACCTGGTGCCTCATTTATTAAAAGATATTCTTACACCAACAAGCAAACCTCAGCCAAAGTTTGGCTTCAGACAAAACTTATCTCGGTGTCAGCATTAGTGATCCATGTTAACTTTTTCATGTTGTGTGTGATGTATCATGAGGCGAAAGTCTTATAAAGTACCATAATGTCTGCATAACCTTTGTTTCAAAACACACAGAATACAATGTCAAACATTTTCTGGAGACTATGAGTAATAAAGAAAAAGCACAAGAGAGGGGCCAGTTACTTCAGGTAATATTTCATAACTTTAGAGGATTGCTCTACACTATATCCCTCTAATCTTTTTTCAACTTTACTTGACTTTGTACATATTACATAAAAACTGCCTTTATTAAATGCTGATTCAATAGCTCAACCAAATTTGGTGTTGTTAATTAAAGAGGTTTTTGTCCTTCTGTATGTATAGTATAATAAAAATAGCTAATCACTTCACAGACTGCTTCTACTTTTTAGGTTAAAATACAGGCCTTACTCCCAGGGGAAGGGGGATTCTTTCCCGAAATGTTTTAGCTTTGGATCCAAGCTGAAGTTCTGTTTTATTGTCACAGGGCCAGGAGAGTGGAAATCATCTCCGTGCTGATGGAAACTTCAGGGAAAACAACATTAGTGTTGCTAAACACTGAAATTATACATTCTCTAGTAGTTATCAAAGAGAATCAACAACACAATTTAAAAAAAAGAATGTTCTGAAAGGTTATCTGACACGTTTATCTTCACCGAGGATCCTCATTTAATCTCTATGTAATGACCCTTGGGAATTTTTTTATTTTTCACTCCCAAGTGGATATGTAGAGTTTCCAAAAGGGGATAAACTATGTGGATTTGTGGAAATGACACAGCAGAGTGGTTTAGTGGTTGCAGAAACTGTTCCATAACCTCAGAATAATTCATGTTCAATTCGCCCTACAGGGATTAACAGGCACTCGTCCTTTCCTTTCACTCTTCTAGGGAAAACAATAGATATAAATGTATGATATAGAGTAACTGACTGTCGTCACACTTAGCGGCCAAGATTTTAGGCCCTCGGGGGTCCAAGGAAAATCCAAATGTATGATCTGAGTGACAGCTGCACAGCTTACCTGAAGCAAGTGCCATTCTTCCCATCGGCCCTAATGCAGGGATATTCCACCGTCAAGATTTTATTATCAGGACACTCCATTCTAAGCAAAAAAAGGGAAAAGGAAATATGATTGATTGGCACTGTTTTCCAGCAGTGTTAAGCTACATAGTGTGGGGAAGTACAAGCAAAAAGAGATCCAAGGTTGGATTTGAAAAGGGGGATGTTGCAGTTTAGCATGGAATTCCCCCATATTCAAAGTTTGATACCACAGGGAATTCAAGCTATTATTTGAAAGTACTGTTACATAAAAGACTGGTGTGAATCTAGTCTGTATGTATGCAAATGCATGGCATTATTGGAGCCCAACAGATTTTTTAAAATTTAGATTTCAGTTTTTGAATTGATATTTGAGGGTTTACCCTGATTCACTTTTAAAAGTATATATGAAAAATCTTCTGTTCTTTACAGTTGCAGTCTCTCCACCTGGATAAGTTTATGCTTTTATTTGTTTTATATTTTTGTAAATTAAAGTATACATTTTGCAGTGTTTTTAATCAAATAAACAAGATACCTAATGTCTTTTGACTTGCACTTACTTGATAATAAAATTATATTGTTAACGTAAACTCTAAACTAAATAAATACAAATTTTACTGAAAAGGTTTTGGTGAACTTGGTATTGACCAAGAAAGGTTTAGAGTGGCCAGATTTACAATGGATAAATCATACAGTTTGGATATTGCTAGACTATTACAGGCAACTATTTATTAGATATTTGTGATATTGCTTACAATACTTTGACTGTCTGGTAACATTTTTCTGTCAGTTTTCAATATCATAAGACATAACAGAAGAATCCCGGAGAATATTTAGAAACATAATCCCAAATAACTACTCTGACATTTTCATAAAAACTTAACAGCCAAAGAAACAGACTAATATATCAACACAGTCATATTTCCTGTGTGCACAGCCACTACTAACACTACCAGAGGTAGTAATGTGCTCGAGCAAGAAGTGCATCAATCAGCGGTAATTTTCATTTCTCCGTAATAGAATCCGATGAACACACATACCCTGGAAACATAAATCTGAAGATGCAATGCCCATGTTTTCATGTCCTTGGACAAACGAAACTCTGGTTAATTACCCCGTGTTTAACCTGTTGCTTTGCGGTTTAGTGGTTTCCTCTTGTCTTCTACAGAATATTAGGAGCATGTGCTCCATTCCCATTGACTCCTCACCTCCTGACCTACTCTCTCCGGGCATCTTAACAGCATCTGTCATATTATGTCTGAGCACAAGCAACATTTGGCTCTCCTCACCGCAACCGATTTCAACCATTTGGACTTTCCCTTTGCTTTTTTGCATTTCCTTGAAAATCACATTAGATTAGACGCGCTGCAGCGGTTCATCCAGGGGTCTCCGTGACAGGCTGCTCACAGAGTATGTCGCAAAGAGCAGAAACCCATAAAAGGTAGACTAAACTCTGTTATGATTTCTGGCACCGTATGCTAATCTGATAATGAAATAACTGTTTTGAGGTTTAATTGAATGCCAAACAAATGTAATGAGTGGAGTGGTAGCTGCCAAGAAACTTGCAGAGCTTCAATCTCACATTAATTCATAAAACCACCGTAAAGCATAAATAAACGATAAGTCAAACATTTTCGTGCAGAAATTTGTGCTACTTTTGAAACTTTTTATACTTCAAGATAGAAACGCACATAATACAACTTCCCTTAATTATGAGCGCAGCAGACATGGTTTCATCGTCACACTGCCGTTCATTAACAATAAACAATATTGCTTATATGTGACCCACAACTAAAATCTCTGAGACTTACCCTGAGGTGTCCATTGCAAGCGTCGTCCTGATGGAGCTGGCACCAGATTCCCAGAGGAAAACGACACAGATAGCGCCAAATGGTAAAAGAGACGCACCATAAAGTTGACCCATGTCCCTTTTTGCACTCCGGGACAAATTATCTTCTCGAGTGAAAACGCCTTAACATCCGCCAAACGCCACTGTTTTCATCTGTCAATGACCCCCGCGGGTAGTGCCATCAAAATATCACAAATCCCTGTCAAGTATCCCGCAGAGGAGACGCACATGGAGCCTGTAGGATAATAAGTGCTGCGCAGTGCGTCCGAAGCCCCCTTCCCAACTTTACGCACTAAGGCAGAGACCTCTTGGAGAGCTACTGAAGGGTTTACAGCTCACTGTGTTCTCACTAATCCCCCCTGGATTTACATTCCAGCCTCCAAAGAAGCGACTTAACGCAACTGAGTATACAACCTTACTCCCCATTGGTGGTGATGACGTTAAACATAATAATGATAAAACAATAAATTGGCTAAACAGCATACATGATCCTAAATGACCCCCAGGCTTTACCGCTGTATTTGATAAATACATTCCTTGGAAGAAAGTCAAGCACCCATGGCGCTGTAAAGACTTTTAAAAAGTGCTTTAATAAGATTAAAACAATAACTGGTGTAGTAAAAAAAAATCAAACTACTAAGCTGGCCTGATGAACTGCTCAGAGCATACAAAAATATCAAGAAAATGCAAAAAATATGTTCGCAATATAGCAAAGCTTCCAGTTAGACATTTGAAATGTGGACATTGTGAGTTTATCTCCAAACAGTTTCATCATGTTTGGATTTCATTTTGGAAACAGTCTTACTGAGTCTGTCCTGCCTTACTCAGAAAATCAGAAATGCACTTTGACTGGTGGAGTAGAATGTTGTTTCCTAGGAGCGGCAGCCTCCTGATAGATTTTTTGGAGAGACCCATGAAACATGCATTAATAGTAATAATAGTTTTATAAATTAAGCATGAATTTGCTCTGGTCAGTGGCCTGAATTTATATTTGGTAAACATTGTTTAAATTTAGATTTGAATATTCATAGACCTCATGAGCTCTAACCTTCTAACCTCTTTGGCACCAAAATGACTTGACTTGACTTTACTTCAGTCTGTTTTATTGTATTGCTGCCATTCTATAAGACCCAGTAATGGGTTGGGTGTAATTGATCAGACACTCTGTTTTCATAATATGCAAATGTTTGAATGTCATCTGCATACTAGACCAGGAAGTTTGTTGAGTGAGTTTGTGAAGTCTCAGAGCCAGGGAATTATTTATTTCTTTGATGTTTGCAATATCTAGCAAAGGGTGGAGTGATTTCTAATAAAAAAAGAAACAAACAAACAAATTCCTGGTGTCAGCAGAGGCTGGACTTGGTTTAGGTCCCAGAAATGAAACCACAATCTCCAAGATCGCTCCAAATCTAAAACTTGCTAATTTCATGAGATGCTCAATGCAACTTACAGCCAGTCAAAGACAAATGATCTCTTCTGTTGTTGTCCTGTGAGCTAATGCAGAACACTGAAAACATTTTATATGCTGTAAATAGGCATTCAATTTCTTGCAAATTGTATAGAGCATCAAACTGAAGTTATTGTTGACTGCTGACAATCTGTCACTGTGGACAATTCTAGAACTGAACATGGTCAGTGCTATTAAAGCACATTTGTCCATTTGCTTGGCTTGGAAAATATCCTGAAGGTGGAGTGGGTACAATTTATAATGCGCCCTATATGATTTTTTTTCTCTCTGTTTTTTTAAAATAGTCTCTATGCAGAGGTCAGTTTCTATGCATACTAATTATCCACCCATTATTTTTAATCATACTTGCAATCACAGCCTGATTGCCCAACTTGGCCATAGGCTTTTAGCAGTGGATTGTATGTCACTATCTGATTAAGTCACCATATTATGCAGCAAAATGTTTGTTATTTTTTTACATTATGACAAATTTCACTATGCTTCATGACATTTAAGGAAGTCTTGTTAACTGTACATTTAATTTCTTTTTATTAGGAATGAAAAAATATTCCTCCTTTCCTTTGCAGGTCTTTTATATCACTATTTAATTCAAGATGAGAAGATTCTGTACCTTTATTTGTCTGCTTGATATATGGCTAATACAAAACAACATTAATACTAATTAGAACTCAACCTGAAAGAGTAATTGAATGAAATCAGAGCCAGATTGTGGAGTGTAGATCAAAATCTTGTTCTTACAACATGAATCTAACGTGGGGGAAAACTATTACCAATCCTGTGATACACTTTTGCAGCATATTACACATACATACATCAGTGTACTAATAATGACATATAGGAGGGTAGTTCATCTTAATTTCACTTACCCAACATAAGCTCCTACACTAAAGATTAAGAACACTTTAGGGGATTTTGCTGCCTGTGAATGGGATACAAATATTTTAGGGAGAGCTGCTTAGTTACCAACTGCATGCCTGTGCTTCTGTGGGCAGCTTTTGATGATTCACTGGGAGAAATAGTGTTATTCATAGTTGTGAGTGACGATCTGCCCAACAGTCACCTTAGAGGGAAGCACAACACACTGGCCAGAGGATGGTCAGGCGATGTTAGCTAACTCTGTACTCAGTGGTCTGTTACACCGTCACTCCCCTGGGTACGCGGGATTCCTGGCCACCATTCAATAGAAACAGCTGGTTTTATTCACCGCAAATGAATCACACTAGAAATACACATGCACTCACTTACTAGCACTGTATACATGTATACACATAGTAACATGGTCTCTCACATCAAATTAAACTGCACAATCTCCTTTGGCTCCATTCCCTCTAGAATCAAATAAATTCATAAAATACATAAAGTAACATTATTACAGAACCACACCAAAAAGGCAGCTGTTGAAACTACGGCCTCTGCTTCATTATTACGACCACACAGGCCATGGTTTCTCTTTTCCCACGAAGGAGAGTCTCCTTTCTCCATTTTCTTTGGTTGTGGTTTTTATTTAGTGTTTTTGTATATGCACATAAGCAGGCAGGAACAAATGTGTTTTTCATTGAGGTCTGAGGCTGCATTCTGCTTCGTTACCAACTTCTTGTCACTCATGGATAAGACCAGCCAGTTGTGAAACACATGAAATGAAAGACACAGTCAGAGGTAATTTAAGGCTCTTAGCTCTTAGTCTGCATATTCTGCTGCGTTGCTCATTTTAAATTGCACCTGAGAAGTTAGTGCTTACTTTTATCACCTGAGCATTGCTTGAATGCTGTCAATGAATAATTGCTTCTAATCGGTTAAAGCAGCTCTTTAGCTACACTGAATGTGTACTGAAGCACTTATCTAAAATATAGTTGAACAGGCAGTGCTAACTCTCAGTAGGATTTAAGACTGACCTCAAATGATTTAATGCTAAAATGTGGCGCTCATATATCAAAGACTTTTGTTTAAGTTAGCATTTTTTTGCTGTTAAACATCTCTTTGTTTTTACCAAGTCCTGCATGAGCCAAATGCACTAAAGTCACTTCAAAAATGTTTTTCATTGGTTTTGGCTGATACCAGCAAAGCATCTGAAACAGCTGATCGTTACTTACTAATGTTGTTCTTTTGTGACATGTCTAGGAATTTTGAGCATGTCCACAATGAGACATAAGGAGCTCCAGGAGTACATCCCTGAATGATATTATCTGTGTTGGATACATAGAGGACATTAATCTCTCTTAAAGCCTTGTCTTGTCTTTCAGACAAATCCATGCAAGTTGAGGCTAAACATCCGAACACAGAAACACGAGAATGAGCCATTAGAACATCTCAGGGAGCAAACAGTCAAAGGATTCATAGGCGCAGGTGCACTGTTCAAAAAGTGAGTTTTACCTAACCCCAAAATACTTAACCCTTTTATGCATGAATTATGATAACCTCAATCAGAATTTTCTTTTCATCTTTAGGCATAAAATTTTTTTTTTCAAAGAGTTTGTTACATGCCCACTTAGGTGGACAACATACGTTTTGACTTATGAATTTGACAAATGAATAAATAATATACACTGTGTAAAAGGTTTATTTGCCAGTATACCATCATCACTGACACAAATAAGAGAACACAACCTTTGAATAGCTATCCACTTTAGTGACCACAATGCGTGAAAGGGTTAAAAAAAAAATAAGCTAATTTGAAAGCAATTTGTCTAATAATATGTGACTGCAACAGGAAAGAACTCTAATGTGGTAATGGTGCAGTATACTGTGAATCCTTAAACCTGTATGTCTGGCTGATTTATTTCAATTGTGTGGCTGTTGTTACACTGTGCATGATTTAAAAAGAGAGACCTATTTTGTGGCTGTAATCATTTATTATTTGTATCTGGGTTTAAAATGTCTCGGTTGATGTTGGCAAAGGTGGAGTACATCCAGGATATGTTGTCAGTGCTAACACAGAAAAACAGCAGGTACAAACCTAAACCTTTTCCTGCTACTAGTGCTAACCAATTCGAGCTTTAAACTCAAACAAATGAAAAATAGGATTCAATCATATTCAGTCATTCTTTATAAACATATAGGTATTTATTATTAAAGTATGATGACTTTCTGCTTTCATTATTTCTTTGAAAATGTAGACAGCAACCTTACTGTTTTACTTTTTAAACTAGTCAGATATATATACATACTTATATTGTGTTTCACGAGGTAATTACACGGGAATACTTTTTTATTTTGGTCAATTAGATCTTAAATCAAGTAATTATCACAGGCATAATGTGTTAGAAAGGTTAAAAATTACTTTGACTAATTGTACTTCATTATAGTATTTAGTTGCTTATTTATTTTTGCAGACACTCAAACTTCTTTATAGTGAACAAGTAAGATTTCCAAAAAACGTCTCCATTGCCAGGTAAACATAGCAGAAAAGTGATGAGCTCATACCACAGAGCTGCACAGACATAACTTATTTTTATGGGTGTGTTCCAAAGACAAATCATTGTAAAGCTTCTCTGTTTTTAGCACACAGAACTCTGTGAAACTGATTTAGTAATAATTGCACTCTTCCAGTTAAAACATAGGTTGTCATAAAATACTGACAAGAAGAGTCGTGAATCATGTTTCTGGTTGGGACTCTTATGCAATTCTGTTTCTATTGTATTGTGTTTAGAAAGTGAGGGAGTTTACAAAATATGCACATTGCATGCCCTTCTTATCACCGGTAAACACCTGAATCTCCAAGCCAAGCAACGCAGAAGTAATCCATTAGTGCCAGGAAGGACGATGTGGAAAAAGTTCTTTTGTAATCTTCCTGATGTTGCACAATTCAAATGTTTTGTTGCTGGATTTAGCAGTGCTAT